TTTCTATTCTACCCAGTGTAAAAAAAGAAAAAATTGATCCGGATTTCCTTTGTTCACTCCAGGACGTGACAATTCTCATCCCAATGTTGCCCTCACTTTCCAAAAATGAGGTCTCCCTCTCTCTCTCTCTGCTTTGTATTTTGTGTTTTTTTTTCCCTATTTTAGAGAAGAATTTAACAATGTTTGAAACTAGACTAGTTTATAGTGGTCAACCTGTTTCTAGATGTGTAGAAAGTGTATTCAATTGGCGAACCTATTAACATGGCTCATGAAGCTGTGCATTTGAATGAGCTTGTGGGTTGTGGTGTAGGTAGACTCCACAATTTTTTAGAAAATTTTTGAGGAAAAAAAAAAAAAAAATTTTACAAGAAAATGAATCAAGGGTATGAAATGAAGAATTCAAATAATAAATAGAGAAAATTTTGCACAATTTCCAATGAGATCTTTGTTGATTTTTTCTTATTCATTCTGAGGTACCAGGTTTTACCTATTTTTCCTCGATTGGTGGATCTTCCATTGGAGAAGTTTCAGAGAGCGTTGGCTCACATATTACAGGTATCTAGAATACTGCAAACGCTTACTTACAATATTGTTGCTTTGCTGCCATTAATATGAATCGAGTAGAATAGAGAAATCTTGTGCATATTTGTAAGATTTGTGGCACATGGTAGGGTAATCTTTCAATGTATTCTTTTGAATATTTAGTTGAATTTGATTGTTGTTTATTCTAAATATAATGCTAACAGGTCTTTTTCATTCCTTTCAGGGTTCAGCACATACACGTCCAGCTTTAACACCTGTTGAAGTATTGATTGCCATCCACAACATAATTCCTGAAAAAGATGGCCTTGCATTAAAGAAGGTATTTTGCTATCTTTTGCAAATATGTATTCGTTAATCATAGAGTTTCAAACGTTTTATCCTTCAAAATTTCAAATAACAAAATAAATAATATAGGTTATAGAATTGGTCCAGATAACTGGGCTGGATATGTCAATATATGTACTTTCCTTCGCATTCAGCTCTTGTGCTTATTGAAAAAAAAAATAATAGCAAAAACTATGTTGAAACAGTTGAAACAATTAACAGCTCACATTTTCTACGGTTAAATATTCAACCATCCAACCCTTCATAGGTTTCTGAACTGGTTTCCACTTATACCCTAATGTTTACTGCATCAATGAATACTAGTTTATGACTTTCTGGGTTCTTTTATTTTTATAGATAACGGATGCTTGTTCAGCTTGTTTTGAGCAACGTACAGTTTTCACTCAGCAGGTTTTAGCAAAAGCCTTGGGCCACATGGTATGTTAATAAAGTCTAGGATCATCACTTTTATATTTTTAATTTGGTATTGTAATAACACTAATCTTTTCAGGTTGAACAAACCCCACTTCCTCTTCTCTTCATGAGAACTGTGATTCAGGCAATTGATGCTTTTCCTACTCTGGTAAATTTTCTTTGATCAACAATTTCAGTGTTTTTTGGGTAAACAAGAACCAACTTCTAAGTGATATAATGAGGATGATTAAAAGTTTAGAGATACAAGCTTTGCAGTGAAAAAGAAAAATTAAAAAATAGCAAAGACAACCATATAAAGAAGAACTATGAACAAGAATTTTTCATAGATCTAACTCGTGTGCATCATTGAACTTTTGTTTATATTCGAGAAGAATCTCTGATTTCTTTTGAAGATATTCTACTTTGCAAAGAACTATTTATGATAAATCAATTCCAGCTCCCCATCAAGCTGTGCAATCCAAACCAAAAGTTTATCCATAGAAGCAGATTTTGATTCCATAAAAGGAAGATTCAGTATGCAAGACACAAGGAATGCACTAGAAGATTATTTACTATTTCCGTGTTTTCTGATATTAGGAAATATTTTCATGGAGCTATTATATATTGCCTTTTGGACTGAGTTTTTGCATTGTCATTGATTCTAGAGTTTGGGGTACTAAGTGAGGTGGAAAGAGACTCGACTTGTGAGATCCCACATCGGTTAGAGAGGGGAACGAAACATTTCTTATAAGGATGTGGAAAGCTCTCCCTAACAGACGTGTTTTAAAACCTTGAGGGGAAGCTCGAAAGGGAAAGCCCAAAGAGGACAATATCAGCTAGTTGTGGGTTTGGGCTGTTACATTATTGTACCACTAAATGCATGGACCGACCTGGTGAAAAATGCAATCAAAGTTAAAAAAAATTTGAGACCTTGACATTATTTTGCTCTAGGTGTGACTGGTCGTTATATTTGTTGCTTACGAAAATCACATATCTATTCTTCATGCTCCTTTCTTTTTTGTTCCTATAATACATCTTATACAGCTTTGTGCTTGAAATAAAATTAATTGTTAAAATCACGGTTTACTTATTTGGATGACCATGGTTTCTTTTTCAGGTTGATTTTGTTATGGAGATACTTTCCAAACTTGTAAACAGACAGGTACCTTTGGTAACAACTTATGTTTTCCAAATCTAATGAAAGAAAAACAAATAAAATATAAATGATGCTCTGCTGTCTGAAACTATGGTCCTCCAAATCTAATTCTTGGTACTCACATGGACCGTGCTGCTACGTTGTCTTTCGAATCCAGGTCTGGAGAATGCCAAAACTGTGGTTTGGTTTTTTGAAATGTGCATTTCAGACGCAGCCTCATTCCTTTCGAGTACTATTACAGGTCTCATGATGTCATCAATTTGATATGGATATCTTTCTCTTATACTTGGTGTTCTGTATGTTCCTAAATAAATTTGTTTTTTGTAGTTGCCACCGCCACAACTTGAAAATGCTTTGAACAAATATGCTAACCTTAAAGGTCCTCTTGCTGCTTATGCCAGCCAGCCCAGCACAAAATCTACTCTCTCTAGGTACTTTTTCTTTCTCTTGTGCGTCATGTTACCTGTTTTTTTGCTAGCTTTATTCCCTATATTGGCAAATCTTTCCAGAATACTTCCCTTGTGTCTATATTTTATTTAAAGAACAAATGCTTGGGCTTTCTGCAACAGTGAGGTGATACAGAAAACTATAGTCGATTTGATAACGGTTTTGTGTTTTTGTTTCTGGCTTCGGGATTTATGCTTGTTTCCTTTCAATTTCATTACTACGATTTTCGTCTTTGTTTATGAAGTTTTGGTCGAATTTCAAAAACAAAAATATATTTTGGTTTTTCAAAACTTGGATTGGATTTTGAAAATATGTTCAGGAAATAGATAACAAAAACGACTAAAGGGCCCTCTAATGTCAATCTTGAAGTAGTACATCTGTTTCTGCAATGCTTTTAAGCTAATGACTTTTAGTTTTTCGTGTTCTTGTTTTGTTGATCCCAAGAAGTAAAACTTCTAAAACGCTGGATGGTATAATGGCCTTGTGATGGTGTTGAATTTGGCATACAAGATTTCGATGTTCGGAATTTAGAATTTCCTCTCAATAATGTCACGAACCTCGGTCTTCGTTAATGAAACCCTTCGAACTAATTAAGCATCTAGGCGTTTTGGATGTCTACCATACTCTCGGACTTGCGATAAACTTTAGAAAAATTGTGGTAGACTACCCTCCTCCTGAAAGAGATATCCCAAGACTATGCTATTTTTTATGGATCAGTTTAGAAATCTTGTTTTAGTAAATCTGGGAACACTTCATTTTGGCAGACCGATGCTCGTAGTTCTGGGTCTTGAAAATGAAAGGCATTTGTAGCGACTGCATTCTGTTCATCTTGTAAAGTTAGGACGAATATCATTGGTTCGCATATCAACTCCGGAGTGGCGAACGAGTGAGCCTCGAGAACTTGGGAATCGACTGCTCAGCTCTTTGGAGGAGTACGAGGCGACTTCTCTGCAATCATGGTCCCAATCAGCTTTGTCAATCATCCCATGGAACCTCGATCGCTTCGACTATATAACCCACGGCAGACAATCCATTTGAAATCCTTGATTATCGGTCTGTGCAGCGGCATGTGAACCCAGTGATTTGTGTCCAGAGATGATTCAAAAGAGTCCAGCTTTGTACCTCACCAACAGCCATCCCCATATAAAATGAGGGGAAGGAAATGCTGATTCTACGTAGGTGTACATATCTGCATTAAGGAGTTCTTAGAAATGTCATGTTTTTTTTTCCATTTAGTTCTTTCAAGATTTTGACAGTTTATGTACATTAGTTCAGTTTAGTCGGGTAGCTCGGATTCGAACTTCTGGTAACGGACGCTGCCCGGTATGTAAGCTTGGTGACAGATAGTTCCCTGTACTATATAATAGCCTTCGACTGTAACCAATTTTCTTCTGTAACACCCTTTAATTCAGTATGGTTTCCAAGCTTATTCAATGGCGTTTCATTTCTTATGCAGATTTAAACAGATTGAAAATGTGTTGCTCAGTTCGTGAGAAGCTTTTCGATCATTGTGTCATTTTTTTTTTCTTGATTTTAATTGAATTCTCCTTTTCAATCTGATATTTGAGATTTTTTTTTTTTTTTTTTTTTTTTTTTTTTGGAGTTTTATTGTTGTAGTTGAAAATTAAACAGTGGAATTATAGGACTCGAGTCATTGACATTGATAAGGTAATTGTTGTTGTATCCATGTACATCTTATATTACAATAGAATAATTAAATTTTTATACTATGAAAAATAAAAATTAATAAAAAACTAAACTTCCATCTATTTTTTATTTTTAATTACATTAAATAAAATCTAGTTTTAATTATCTTTAAAAAAAAATTCAAATTCTAAGGTAATAATTTGTATTATAGCTTATGCATTATAAACATATTTTTCATAGGTTTAAAACTTAATTAATTGGTTATCTAAATTGAGATATTTTTTATTGAGAAAAAACTCATTTTGTATTATAGCTTTGGTTGGATGTTGACCAAGGGAAAGCACGAAAGAAAGATGCACAAATGAAAGACAAAGGGCGACTTCATAAAAAGCAAACCTAAACCCATAACACTCTTCTTTTGGATCATTAACAACAAATTAACATAACTTTTTAAGTTTTAGAATTAAAATAAACATAAAATTTTGCTATATATCCCACAAGAAGGCATTCTCTCTTTGTGAATTCATCTCATCATCTTGAGAACCACACAGAATTCTGCAACAATTCGCTCACCCTATGGCCATATATGAAACTAAGATCAATCACAATATCTAAATATGAGAAACATTTAGAAGGTTTAATCTCCAATCTCACAATTTGCAGAACTAATCTATCAATCCATCGTCATTCTTTAACTGCAGTTGAAAGTTTCCTTCTCACACAAACTCCAAAATTAAGCTCCAATTTTTTTAAGAGTCTATTTGAAATGACTTTTCAAGTGCTCAAAAAGACCTGTCTTTTTAAGCACTAGTAAAGTCATTTCAAATAGACCTTCAACCTTGTACTCAAAGCTAATCATAACACCCAACCTACTCGGGGGACGGGGCTTCCCTCCTGGAACAAGACTTACCTTCCTAATGGAAGATGGATTTATCCTATCATGGGAGGGGGAAGGGAGGCAGGGAGGGGAACCCTTTTGCTGGTGGAACGTGTAGCCAAAAACAAAAAGATGAAAAAACAGGACCTTGGCAAATTTTGAGAAATGGTGTGCTGAAACAGTGAGGGTGGATGGGGAATAGTAATGTTGCAAACTAACTGTCTTACCCTTAGCAGAAAGTGGCCTTACTTGATTTGGCCCCATCGACTCAGTCACCGGCCGGTTCTACAACAAATACAGAGTTTAGATATACAATAGTCCCTGCCCCCACACTATTTGGAAGGTTTTGCTGTAACAATTGAAGATTCAAAAATTAAAAAACCCTCTAACGTAAGCACTAAAACTCTACAACTAAACGAAACTCATTTCTGTTAAAGAATATGCAAGAAAAATCTTACAAGTAAAAATGATAAACTCGTATTTCTCTGTGTTGAAAGCCAAGCTAGCCATGGATCTCTTCACCACCAACAGCGCCAATTAAAGCAAATGATCCAATCGGAAGTCAAAAGCCACCAAAATTCAGATTTAGATCAAACTGCCATAAAAAAAATATGGGATCTATGTCATTTGTATTTCAACTTCGTTTGAAATTAACCGATGATAAACTTAAATGAACTTCAGGAGTCCAGAAAGTGACGAAGCTATATGCATTTTAATATCAGATAAAACATAGTTTCTTTTCCAACCTCATTTTACACCCTAAATTCTACAATGGTAGACAAAAAAGTTGCAAGAGCCTGTTTGCCTAAAGAAGATGTTACCTGTATCAAATTCTAAGCTTCAAACTGCAATGGCAAAGTTTAATCACTTAATTGGCAGGACATAATCAAGATTCTTCTGAAACACCCAACCACTCGGATAAAAAGAATTGGGAACTTCCAAATGAAGATGCCAATTCATTACTTTTGAACAGCCAGTAGGCACACCTTCCATTTGACTTTCATCTTCGACTACTTGCTCTATGAATGTAGTCTCCTGTCAAAAAGAAAAAGATGGCAAGCAATGAAATTATAGCACTGCATACATGCGAATGAAAGCTTCAAAAACTGTGGGAAAGGCACATAATATAGTACCTGAAAACCCTCTTTCACAGTGTCCAACTGTCGAATGGGTTTTGAAGTAGGGCGTCTCCATCTCTTTGGGTCCCACAGGATGGTGCTGTTGAAAGCAAACCCGGACATATCAACATGAAATCTCCTAAGCCTCTTACTTTTCTCATTGGTGTGCCATCCAATTACTTGACTTCCATTGCATACAGGACCTTCCAGAATCGCTTTATTTTTGTTTTGTGCAAGCATAGCAACGGGCCAAGTGCCAAAGCGACTGCAAGATGAGCATACTAAGATTAGGAGTCTTTGAGAAAACATGAAATGTAATTTTGGTATGGACACAATTGGATTTCTAAGATAAAAGGTTGTCTCTCAAAAGAAAACCCAGCTCAAACTATCAAATAAAAGAAAGAAGAGTTGAGTATTATATGGGAAGGGAATCTAAAATATGACAGCTTTCCTAACTAGTAACACCTCCTCACGAAAAAACAGCAAGAATGTAGCTGTTCTTCGGATCTTAAAAACTTGTAATGAAGTAATAGAGCCAGCAATATCTAAACCATTTTCAAATGGCAGCTAATGAAAATGTGAAGTGATGCGAAAGGAAGGGCTAAAAAGAGCCATATTATAGAAACTTATACGACGCAATCAACGATCGAGGGACCGTAACACGAACTTCTAATGAAAAGACATAACATTAGCAAGTGAGATCGTACAAAGTTTGACTCATGAAAAGAAAAGACCACGAATTAGGCTCTTAAAAGTTCTGTCATTGGTAAAAGAACACGGCCAACGAGGTGGTTATTAATCTTTGTCGCTGACGCTCAAGAATTCAGTCAATTTAGATGTAGCCAGAAATGATAAGGATGACCACATAATTACACAAAATTAGTTGCGCAGCCCAGGGCGGGTAGGAATATATAGGTGCGAAATTATATGCACTATTTTCTCAGCTAAAAAACTGCCACAATGACAAAGGCAATAAAAACGCACCATGTAACCAAGAACACACAACAAAAGAGAAAAAATGGACGAGAAAATGCAATAATGATCGAAACGGATGGATCAAGTAGTTCTCAATTTTGAATGCAACAGAAAATTTGAACACAAAACGTGCAAACAGTAGATAGAAAGCATATCCAACATTTTAGTCTATATATCCAAGACAATACACATTCGTAAATTGATCAGGATTGGTTTCAATTACCTAATGTCTCTCAGGCTATCGAACAACTCCAACGAATATATATTGTCATCATCCGCAAAGTAAACGATTCCATCAAGCTTATGCCGTTCAATGTGTTGCAATGCCACGTTCCTTTGATGAACTCCTCTATCCTTCACGTCCGTCATGTTCTTAGTGCAAACCAAATGCCTGTACATAACCCCCGTTTTCCGCAATATCTCGGCAGTCTCCATCGACGCTGAATTCATCTCCACCACAATCCATAACAATGGAGGATTCACAAGCTTCAGTGCCTGACCCAACCTGTTCAGGAAATAGGCTTGAAGTGGACGATTATAAGTCGGCGTCACCACAATCAACTGTCTCTTTGGCACTGAAGTGAGAGACAAATTCACTTCCGGAGACGGCTTGACCGACAAATTAACTGAATCGACAACTGAATCTTCTCGCCAAACCAGACCATGAGTATCTTTCTCAAACTGCGCATTAACATGCGGCGGCTTGATCTCAAACGAGAAGTCATGCCTACGTATATCGTCGCCATCATGGCCAAACGGCATCATACCTAGCAAGAAGCCAAGCAAGAAAAACACACAGCATCTAAAGAATGCCCTTCGCCAAACATTGCTACCTTTCCTCGGAGGATGCCTGAGCAAGAAAGCTCCAGATATAAATCTCCGCACTCCGACGGCAAAAGAAGAGAAAGTAGACGAGTATTTAACATTCGAAAGAAGCTTCGAGGATGGCGAAGAAGTTGAAAACGGGATTCCATTAGGATACACCCGATCGGGATACGCCGGCGACAGAGTCCTCCGAATCGACGCCATTAAGCAATCAAAACAGAAGCAAATCTCAGTAGCGCTACATGAATCTACAACATTTTACTGAAAATTAAAGCTCTGAAGTCCAGTACAACGAAGCAATCAAACGAATCGGGAAGATGAGAAACAGAGCAAAGTTAATTGGCAAAAAAGAACAGATTAACAGAGAAAATGAGAGGAAAAGAATCAACAAAGGAACGGAAATTAGCGCAATGAGAAGAGAAATCCGAAATGAAAGGCAGTTGTCGGAGAGAGATTGGGCTTAGGTTTTTGCAGAAAATTTAGGAGACGAGATAATTTGAGGAAGAAATTACGGGCAGGGTCTGGCGGCCAAGATCTAGCGGGAGTTTCTTTTGTGGGCAGAGCTTGCGCGTACAACTCCAGACGGGCAATGGCTTTCTTCATTAAAAGCTACGCGTTGTGGGCCATTGGATCATTAACACGTGGCCATCTCTGAAACATCTCTAATTTCGGCCGTTGGATCATTTTCCTCTCACAATGGAGTAATATTACTCGGTTATAAATCCATGATTTTTTACTAAATTAACCAATGTAGGACTCATTTCCAATAATCCTCAACAATGGAAATCTAATTTTTTTTAAAAAAAATCAAAATTTAATATTACAAACGAACTTAAATATTATAATTAAAGCCACAAAGTCTTAGATATTATAATATATAAGTAATATTATTATTTATTTTTATATAAAAAAAACAGAGACAATGAAGAAAATTAAGTGGAGACAGAGACAAGAATATTATTATTTATTTTGATATATTAAATATATTATTATTTATTATTTATTTTGATCTATTGAATATTTTGACCTATTGAATTTTACTGATATCGGAATCTTAATAATTACTTACCAGTAACTCCAATTATTATTCAATTATAGTTGACTAATGATTAATTAGTTAATTTATAGCCACGCAGTTCATTAATTACCTTATAGTTACTTTAAATCTCAGCATAAGATTACAACATTAAACCCCACAAATTTGACCCACTTTCTTAGTACATTGTATTTAAATTTACACGTGAACAATGTGTTAAAAAATTATATATTAATTCAATAAATTAATGTTTGTAGAATAATTGGGCATTGAAAAAAGAATGAAAGTTTGGTGAGTTATTATTATTACTTCCTATAAATAATTAATTGAAAAAAAAAATGTTTTTCATTGTAAATTTGTTGGATGAAAACGACAACCAATTTAATGTTTCAAATAAATTTCTTAATAAATATTGTATAATCCATTGCATTATTATTATTATTATTATTAATGAAAACAAGACAAATTATTAATTCAAAATAATTAAATGAAGGGGCTACGGATCCATAACTATTGTCGTCCCAAGTCTCAGATCCATAACTTCATATCTTTCATGGGCTTGAGCCCAAAGTTATAGGCCCATTCCGTGATCCAGACACTAGTTTTTATTTTATTCATTTTAAAAAGATTTTGGGTAACAATTATCAAAATTAAAAAAATTAAAAAATTAAAAAATTTAGAGCTCTCGACACTCTACTTTAAGCTTCTCAAGAGGTCTCATACTAATGAGATAGTATTGTTTGATTATAAACTCATAGTATTGTTTGATTATAAACTCATGACCATTCTCTAAATTAGTCGATGTGGAACTTTCATCCAACAATAAAAGAGCCGTAGAATTAAGAGTTTTTATTTATTTTTACGGAATTAGTGGAAGTCGTACTTAATATTTAATTTGTTTGTTTGAATTAAACTCCAAAATAATAATAATAATAATAATAATAAACTAAAATTTTTAATTACGTGGACGGTTTGAGTTTGTTGATAACAGGGACCACGTGTCCTCTTCGTTTACAAATCAAAGCTCGACATTATTCAATTTAGAATTGAAATAAACAGTATTAAAATGGCTCTTTTTTTAAAAAAAGAAAGTAAAAAAGTAATTAATGGATAAGATTTTGAAGAAAATTTAGATAAGAACAAGACTCCGACTAATGTCAAACATTGAATTCAATTAAATACCAATTTTATTAAACTTTTATATCATTTTAAAAAATTATTTTAAATCGAAATTTTGAAAATAATTTATAATTACTCGAACGAACAGAGGTAATGATCTACATATTGGATAATTAGTATCGTATATATTAAATTATATTTAAATTTAGGGACAGACTATCTTTACTGGATTACGTTGCATTCGAACTCATCTTTATGATAAAGTATCCATCTTTTGAATCAAAAAAGTTCGGGTCTCAAATCATGAAGAAAAAAGTTCCTTTTACCAAAGGAAGTGGACGAACCAAATGAAATGGTCGAGGACTTTTAGTTTCTTTTATTTATTTATTATTATATTTTTTTAAAGTGAAGGATAAAAAGTTAGGAAAGGCCAAATAATGCAATTAATTCAGTGACCCAATTGCACTAAATATTTTTTTATTATTTATTTTGGGATTTTATTAAGCTTTAAAGATGAAATTCTTTATTTAAAATTACTTTAAGAAAAAAAATAATATTTATTTTGTTGAAGGGACAAAATCCACTACCTAAAGCCCCTAAAGAAATGCTTGAGCACGTGTAAAAATAAAGTTTTAAAAAGGCTTCAAGTATTGCAAAATCGGTGTGCCACATAAAATAATATATATTTTTTTTCATTTTAATAAAAAAAAATCCTAAATGGAAATAATATTTATTATTTTAATTTTTAAAAACAAAAAATTAAAAATCGAGTGATTATCCAATTATCATAGTGCAAGCAGATTAAATTAGGTTGGAAAACACTTCCGAATCGATCTGAAATTTTAAGTTGGTTGAGTTTCTGACCTGAACAATCCGAATAAAGTTTACAACTTAGGTTGTTTTAAAAAAATAATATTTTAAAAATCATGCTTACAAAAAAAAAGAAAAAAAAAACTGATCATCAGTTACAACACTAAATATTATCTCTTTAGAAATAGGGTAAGGTTGTATTGTAACCCTATTTTTCATGGTTAAAGAAATTTTACGGGAAAAATATAACCTAACCCATCTTTTATGGCTTTTTACCTGATTCAAACTAAAAAAATCTAACCTAACCCAACTTTTATGGCTTGAGTTAGATAATCCAAGTTGGTCGGGATAATGAGTCATATGATGTAATGACCCAGATCCACTGCTAGCCAATATTTTCCTGTTCGGGCTTTCCCTTCGGGCTGGAGATAGCGAGCATGAGTGACAATAAGCTACCACGCAATGTGTGGTGTGTGTATTATCTCAAATGTAATAGTTTAACTCGAGTAAAAACAAACTTGAACACTTGCTGAAAAAAAAGCGAGTTCTCTCAAATTTTGGAGCCAATTCCAACCCTTCCAACAACTTTGGCGTGCGCGCGCACTGGAGCCTGAGGGCAGGGTGGGATGGGGCGCGCGCTGGAGCCTGAGGGCAGGGTGGGATGGGGCGCGCGCGGGAGCATGCGGGCAGGTTGGGGCGGGGGGTGCGCGCGCTGGAGCACAAGGGCGGGGCGGGCGAGCGCGCGGGAATGTTCCGACACTGCCCCACCGTGCGCGTTCCGCCACCACACCACGCCGTCAGCCGCCCTCAACCTCCGACCACCACCCCGACGCCCTAATATGCACTGCACACCTCAAGGCTTTAAAACGCGTCTGCAGGAAGGTTTCCACACCCTTATAGAGGGTGATTTGTTCTCCTCCTCAACCAATGTGGGACATCACAATCTACCTTCCTTCTAGAGCCAGCGTCCTCGCTGGCACTCTTTTCTTCCTTCAATCGATGTGGGACCGCCCCTAAATCCACTCCCCTTTGGGGCCAGCATCCTTACTGGCACACCACCTTATGTTTACCCCCTTCGGGAAACAGCGAGAAGGCTGACACATTGTCCGATGTCTGGCTCTGATACCATTTGTAATGACCCAGATCTACCGCTAGCAAATATTGTCCTCTTTGGGCTTTCCCCTTCGGGGTTCCCCTCGAGGCTTTAAAACCCATTTGCTAGGAAAGGTTTCCACACCCTTATAAAGAGCGATTTGTTCTCCTCTTTGGCTGGGTTAATGGGTCATACAAACACTTCCAACCAGCTTACTTTATATAAAAATAATAATTTCTCTCTCTTACCCTTTATTTTGTAGTAGTCAAAAGTTAAGTAGTGGAGTAATGAGATCATCTTCTTCATTTGTTTGTCGTAAAATAAAATAACATATCAAATTACGAACGTTGTACTACTATGTGTCGTGATCAAAATCTCGATGTATTCCATCACCACCGTTCTTTCTTTTTCCTGTTTGATCGGACGGTGGTTGTTTTTTTCTTCTAATAGCCACAAATTAATTCTGTATGGGTGAGTAGTGAAGAAAGTTGAGAATGAGATAGCCCAATTGGTCAACTAGTTATGCGTTGGTCAAAAAGACAAGACACTGAAAAATGTGGATAAATTAAATAAGCCATGCAGTGGACCATAAGCATTTAATCATCCAAATCATTGCCTACTCCACGTTATTATATTAAAGTTCAATTATGATGTCTCATGTTCGGGAAGAAGAACAAAATATCCTTTATAAGAGTGTGAAAACCTTCTCCGAGCTAAAAAAAACAATATCTACAAGTAGTGGATCTGGCCGTTACAACTTTAATTTCAATTTTCACTTTAGATTATAAATTTTAAAAAAAAATTATTGATTTTTTTTGTGGATCGAGAAAAAAAAAATGTGCAAATCTTATCATCGTCTAAAGAAAACGAGTTACATTACAAAATTGTTTTATGTTCGATAATGTTGAAGATATTTTCAAAGATTTATAAATTATGTCTTTAAAATTAAGTTTAAATGGATAGAATGTCTTAAATAAATGAAAATTTTATGAAATTAATTAATTTAAGATGAATTAAAATATATATAATTATACATATATTTATTTTATTTTATTTCCTTATTTATTTTTTATTAGTGTTATTCAACTCCTCTTATAAATAAGTTTTATTATTTAAATATAGTATTTCAAAAGATATATTGAAATTGAGATCCAAATATTAATTAGATATTTAAAAATAGGTTACTTTTATCGCAAACAAAATTTTGAAATAATTCAAATAATTTAAACTAATCCTTGGATCAGTTCTTTATTTTAATAATAATTGTTTGGGTTTAAAAAAAATTCGATTAAAAAATGTTATAGTCCGACTCAATCTAACCCACAAACAACTTTACGATAAAGATTATAAATTTTTATGAGAATATTAATCTAATCCACGAACCCAATAAAGATTATAATTTTTTTTTAGAATATTATAAATGGCTTAACAAAAATATAAACATTATTTCGATTTATTTAGTGTTTTTTTTTTAAAAAATATACTAGGGATATAATTGTAAAAAAATGC